CACCACCACTCCACCAACGACCAACAACATGCCCCCTCCACCAACACCAACCCTACCCCCTCCACCAACACCACCACCCTACCCTCCACCAACCACCTTCTACCACCTCCATCAACAGCCACACACCCCCGCCATTCCACCTGGCACCAATACCACCAAAACCACCACCCTACAACACAAAATAAAACAACACCACCTCACCAACACGACCTACAAAACCAACACTATTCCTTGCCTTGCACCACCACAACACCACCACTACCAACAACAAAAAACACCACCATCAGCACACCATCACACCAACAAAACAAACAAGAGTGCTCGGCCCCTTCCCTTTCCCCCCAGGCAAAGTGTTACCACGGGGTCCTAACTTCCTGCTTTTGACAGTTGATGGATAGATTGGCTGCGCTGTTTGTGGATTTTTATTATTTTCTATTTTTTTTTCATTGTTTCCATTTATATTATTATTTTTTTCTTGGTTTCTTCCCTCGCCGTAAAAAAAGAATCGCAAATCTATCACAATCTCCTTTGTAATTATTTGAGTTTTCAGAATTTCTTGTTTTTATATATATATTTGAAATTAAATCCATTTCATTGTTTTTTTGGGTGTGGGGGGGAGAGAGGGGAGCGGAGGGGTGCCTGTATTTTGTTGGCGTTCTATCTGTCTATCTATCTATTATTGTATATATATCTTCCGATCTACCTATCTGTTTATCTATTTAATCCTCACCTAACCTCCCCCCCTCTCTCCATTTCTCTCTCTCTCTCTTTTTCTCTCTTCCCTCACTCTCTCTCTCTCTCTCTCCTTCTCTCTTCTCTCTCTCTCTCTCTCCTCTCTCTCTCTCTCTCTCTCTCTCTCTCTCTCTCTCTCTCTCTCTCTCTCTCTCTCTCTCTCTCACCTCATCTCTCTCTCATCATCTCTCTCTTCTCTCTCCCTCCTCCTCCTTCTCTCTCTCTCGTCTCTCTCTCTCTCTCTCTCTCCTCCTCTCTCCTCTTCTCTCCTCTCCTCTCTCCTTCTCTCTCTCTCTCTCCTCTCTCTCTCTCTCTCTCTCTCTCTCTCTCTTCGTCTCTCTCTCTCTCTCTCTCTCTCTCTCTCTCTCTCTCTCTCTCGTCTCTCTCTCTCTCACTCTCTCTCTCTTTTTCCCTCTCTCACTCTCCTCTCTCCTCTCTCTCTCTTCTCTTTTCCTCCTCTCTCCCTCTCTTACTCTCTTCTCTCCTTCTCCATCTCCCCTCCTCTCTCTCTCCTCTCTCCTCCCTCCCTTTCTCTCTCTCTATCACAGCACACACAGAACATACGCCACACAAGAGCACGCACAGAAACGAAAAGGGGGACTGACCGGCCCCTACTGCATCGTGGCTTTGCAGGGCGCCCTTTGTGGCTTGGCTTTGCAAAGGGGGGAAGGGGGAGGGGGGAAGGGGGGAGGGGCAGGATCGCTTTGTCTGCGTGACTCCTCTGCCCTCTCCCCTATCCTCCTATTTTCGCTATCGGGACTCTCTTCCCTCCTCCTCCTTCTCTCTGTTTCTTCCTTCCTTTTCCTTGTTCTTACTTCTCTTATCGTTCTCCTTTCCTCCCTCCTTCTTTTCCTTGTTCCTCTCAGTTTTTCCTCCCTCTCTCTTCCTCTCTCTTTTCTCCTCTACTACTATCCTTTTCTGTTCTTCCTCTCCTCCTTCCCATATCCTCCCTTCATCCACCTCTCTCCCATCCTCTTCCTTTCTTTCTCCTCTTTCCTTTCCTCCTTCTTTCTCCCACCATCCTCTTTGCCGATTTCTCCTCCTCCTCCTCCTCCTTCTTCCTCCTCTTCTGGCCTCATTCCTCCTCCTTCGTCCTCCCCCCCTCCTCTTTTGGCTCCTCCTCCCCTCCTCCTTCAGCCTCATTCTCTTCCTTCTTTCTCCTCCTATTCCTCCAATCCTCTTTTGCCCCCCTACTCTCTTCTCTTCCTTCCCTCCTCCTCCTTTTCCTCCTCCAATCTTCCTACTTCTCTTCCTCTCCTCCTTCTTCCTCTCTTTTCCTCCTTTTTTCCTCCTCCAATCCTCTTCTATCATTCTTCCTCTCTTTCTCCTCCTATTCCTCCAAATCATCTCTACCATTCCTACATTCCTCCTCCTCCATTCTCCCTCCTTTCTTCTAACAATCCTCTTCTACCTCCATACTCTTCTTTCCTCCTCCTCCTTGCTCCCCTTTCTCTTTCTCTCCTCCAATCCTCTTCTACCATTCTACTCTCCCTCCTCCTCCTCCTCCTTGCTTCCTCTCTTTCTCCTCATTTTCCTCCTCCAAGTCTCTTCTACATCTACTCTTCTCTTCCTCCTCCTCATTCCTCTCTTTCTCCTCCTATTACCTCCAATCCTCTCTCCCATTCTACTTCCTCCTCCTCCTCATTCCCTCCCTCTTTCTCCTCCTATTCCTCCAATCCTCTTCTACCATTCCTACTCTTCTCTTCCTCCTCCTCCTTCCTCCTTCCTCCTCCTTTCTCTTCTCTCCTCCATCCTCTTCTACCATTCCTACGTCTACTCCCTCCTCCTCCTCCTTCCTCTCTTCTCCTCATTTCTCACTCCCATCCTCTTCTACCATTCCTACTCTCCTCTTCCTCCTCCTTCTTCCTCTCTTTCTCCTCATTTTCTCCTCCCATCCTCTTCTACCATTCCTACCCTTCTCCTTCCTCCGTCCGCCATTCCCTCCCTCTTTCTCCTCCTATTCCTCCATTCCGCCTTCTACCATTCTACCTTCTCTCCTCTTCTCCTCCTCCCTCCTCCTTCCCTCCTCCTCCTCCTCCTTCCCTCCGTCCCTTTTCTCTTTCCCGACGACGAAGTTCACGGGGATATTTCAGGTTAATACGGTCCGGGTGGCAGGGCGACCGCGGGTGCTTCCTCTCTTTGTTCTTTTCTCTTTTTTTCCATGTTTCTTTTCTTGTTTTTTTGGTTGTTTTTTTGGTTGTTTCGCTATTTATTTGTATTTTCTTCTTCTTTTTGTTTGTTTGTTTGTTTTACTGTTCTTGTTTCTTTCTTTCTTATTCCGTCTGTCTGTCTCTCTGTCTCTCTCTCTATCTCCTATCTCTCTCTCTCGCTTCTTCTCTCTCTCTCCTCTCTCCTCTCCAGGGATCTACTGATCCTCTCTCCCTCTTTCTCTTTTTCCTCTCCCTCTCCCTGCTCTCCGTCCCCTAACCTGTTTTATCCCTAATTCTATCATCTGTGTGTGATGTGCATGCATTTTATATATAAAACCGAACATGAGAAACGCTCTTGACAAGAAAGACGAAGCGAATGCATTTATATAACAGATAGAACTCCTTTATATTCTTTTTTTTCTTCTTCTTCTTCTTTTCCTTTGCTTTCTTTTTCGAGTCAAGGACCGAGTAACGAATGAGCGAGCCTCTTGTTTTAGGCTCTGATGGGTTTTACATTTATCAAACACGCAGAAACTGAAGATTTAATGCTCTCTCTTATATTTTTTTTTTTTTTTTTTTTTTTTTTTTTTTACCAATTTTTATCTGAACATAAACATACTGCTACACACACACGCTTATTACATACGCAAACGGAGGCACACATGCACATAACCGCACTGAGTGAGATACACAAATACCAAATACATAAAACCATTAAAAAAAATACATCATGTCCACAACATGCATAAACAAAAATAGACATAGGGCAGGTTATATACACCACACTACGACAAACACACAAAAGTTCCCACACAAGACTGAAATGAAATAGTTAGCAGAAAGAGAGTTCAGATGGGGGTGTGGGGGTGGGGTAGGTTAGGGGTGGGGATGTGGGTAGTGGGATAGAATAGGTGGAGGAGGAAGGTAGAGAAGGGTATGGGAGGGGTAGAAGGGGGTAGAAGGGGAGGGGGGGAGTGTGGGAGAAGGTTGGGGGAGTGGGACAGCGCCTAGAAAGGGTGTGGTAGGGGGTAGGGGGTAGAAAAAGTGGGGGAAAGGGGTAGGGGCTAGAAGGGGTGTGGTAGGGTGGTAGGTAGGTGAAGGGTGGGGAGTGGGATAGGGGGGTAGAGGGGATGAGGAGAGAGGGGTAGTGGGGTAGAAAGTGGGGTGAGAGTGTTAGGGCTAGAAGTGTGGGGGGAGTGGAATAGGGGGTAGGAGGTGGGGCTAGTGGGATGGGGGTAGAAGGGTGTTGGTGGGGTAGAGGGGTTTTAGAAGGGGTGGGGGAGTGGAGGTAGGGGTTTAGCAGGGTGAGGGAGGGGGTAAGGGGATAGAAGGTGTGGGGTGGTGTAGTAGGGGGGGTTTAGAAGGGGTGGAGGAGTGGGGTAGGGGGTTCAGGACGGGCGAGGGAGTAGGGTAGGGGAATAAAAGGGGTGGAGAGTTGGTAGGGGAGATAGAGGGCAAAAAAGGGGGGCTAGGGATCACTCCGTTCAAAGTCGTAAGCCTTCGCCGACGTCCAAGTCAGGCGCGCAAGTATGCTCGGTCAGACTCAATTACTTAAAATTGATTACCTTTCCTCTTTGAACTGTCATCCCCTCCTCCCCCTCCTCTTTCCCCCTTTGCGCGTGTCTTCTCTTTCTGAGTTCTGTTTCTCTCTCTTTATCTGCCTTTCTTCCTTAGTTAGCTTCACTTTATTCCTATTTTTCTTTCCCTTCATTTTTTCTTTCTTCCTTCCTTTCCTCTCTCCTCTGTCTTCTTTAGCTCTCCTCTCCTTTCTCTACCTTTCTTCTCTCTTCTTTCTCTTCTCTTTTTTCACCCTCTTCCTCTACCACTATCTCTCGTTGTCTCTCTTTCTCAATATGCTTTTTCTCCCCAGACTCAAAATCACACACCACACTGCCTACAAACACTAACAATTACCCACCCACCCACACACACACATACACTACAAACACCAAAATCACCCACACACCGTACACCCACCCATTCACTTACCCCCTTACACACCCACAATCATCCCTCCTCACCCCAGCCACGCACCCACCAGCAAAACGTAGAACCACTTTTGTTTTCATCAAGACATCCCCAAGTCATTCACTCTTAAAAGGGATCTTCTCCCGCCAGGGTCAAGCACCACCAGACCCAAGGCACGGAGAACTCACCCTGTGGTCACCATACCTTGGAACATTACAGCTTAAGGCATGAGCTGTGTCTTATTTATGATGGGGTGAGAGGGAGGGAGGGAGAGAGAGGAGAGGGAGAGGGAGGAGGGAGAGGAAGAGGGAGAGGGAGAGAGAGGAGAGGGAGAGAAAGAGACAGAAGAGAGAGAGAGAGAGAGAGAGAGAGAGAAGAGAGAGAGAGAGAGAGAGAGAGAGAGAGAGAGAGAGAGAGAAGAGAGAGAGAGAGAGAGAGGGAGAGAGGGAGAGAGGGAGAGAGGGAGAGAGAGGGAGGGAGAGCAGAGAGAGAGAGAGAGAGAGAGAGAGAGAGAGGAGAGAGAGAGAGAGAGAGAGAGAGAGAGAGAGAGAGAGAGAGAGAGAGAGGAGAGAGAGAAACAGCAGAGGGAAATAGAGAGCCAGACCGACAGACAGAGAGTGTTGTGTGGTTCTTGATACTTGTAGACAGGTGGCTGATAGATAGGGATGTGGAGATAGATAGATCGATTGATAGATAGAAAGAGACGGCCACGTTTAAGCAGATAGATAAATGCACTTCGCATAGGTTTATTAGAGAGATACTTACATGATGATAGATAGATAATGATGTATGTATGTATGTATGTATGTATGTATGTATGTATGGTATGTATGTATGGAATGGATGGATGGATGGATGGATGGATGGATGGATGGATGGATGGATGGATGGAAGTTATGTATGTTGTATGTAATGTATGGATGGATGGATGGATGGATGGATGGATGGAATGG